TCCTTGTACTTATACTGCATGTTTACTTATTTATTACTCTGAGTAATGCTTCTGTTTTTCCTTTTTCCTGTTTTTCCTCCGGTTGTTCCTTATCTTATCTTATCGCCTCTTATGTTACGTGTCTAAGTCTTTGTACCTTACTTGGTTTGGAGTTTATCATAAAAAAAATAAAGGTGGACATTTTGCATTCACTGTGTAGCACAGAGTTAAAAGGCTATCAACCTCATATGTAAGCAGACTGCAGAGTTAACACTCGCCAGCTCCCACAGGCACTAACAAAAGACATGCGTGTTCATCACTCTGTCCCACAGCTGATAACAAGACAGCACTACTAAGGATAATCCCTGGATTTTACAATTAATAGGCCACAAGCCCTCAAATCTCAACTACGAACAGACTGAGATTTAGAAGAAGAAATATATAAGATATAAAAGACACACCTTCAACACAGCGTCGTTGGGTCCCTGGCTGTCCAAGTCATCCATCTTTTTCTCCGCTCCGTCGATCCATCTGTTCACTTCCTCTATCGTTCCATCTAACTTCTGCATCTGCCGCTGATAGTCCTGAGAGAGGGAGGAGGAAGGAGAGAGAGCGGGACATTAAAGGTTTCTTCAGTTATTTTTAGAAACGTTGGTATAATTTTAACACTGACAAAAGAAAGAAGAAGCTAGAGACACATGAATACAGAACACTCTGTTATTTCTCTTTTTCTGACCAGCAGCAGGTTGAGCCATTCTTCTGCTCGGGATGTGACTGCAATCCAGTTGCAGTGAAGCAGACTGACTTTGTCATCCACCAGGCCGCCGTGGCCCCGCAGCACAGCCTTGAGGGCCTCGGCGAGGTCCACAACAGCCTGCAGCTGAGGCTGACGCCGCTCCGTCTCCTCATGGATGGACTGAGAGAGAAAGATCATTTAACAAAGTTTAAAAAGAACAACACAATGTATGTAGAAAATGTAATATGGTAGAAGACAAGAACATAAAGTCATTGGGGCAGATATTATGAAAAGTTAATAAAGAGCCAGTCGATACAGGAGGGTTTCTGATCTAAATATAATATGAGGGGGTTAATAGAAATGTACAGTTTTAAAAGTAATCAATAGAATCTTAAACTGGATTCTGAAGCGAACAGGGAGCCGGTGTTACTCAGGAAGGAGAGATATGTTCTCTATATTGAAATCTAGTTTCTGTGGATAAGCAGCTGCTGCACGATTCCATGCAAGAGAACAATAAATTACAGAAATCAAGGTGACAGGAAAAGAAAGTGTGAATAATTTATGGGAGCATTGGCTCAGGTTTGGACTCATTTCTCATTTGTCAACAGTAAGACTGCAGGAGACTCCTGATGTACTGATTGAAGTTTCTCACTGAATATGTAAATTTAATATCAGTTATTTCAATAAACATTACTCACTTACATTTTGTGAGTTGAATCACTGCACTTTGCAACCTCCTCCTCTGCTCAGTGACTGAAGTGAGTCATGTATTAGGATTTTATAACTGAAACTATGACCAAAACAAACACATTTACGTTCTGTGACTGCACGGGAAAGAGACATTTTGCCAGTAAAACATAAGAATAATGGCGGCTCTGCAGGTGACTTAAACTGCAGCTGTGTGGAGGAATGAATAATATATGTTTTCCTGAATAACTGCATGCCCTGGGAGTATATCTTCTTTTTTTGTTAAGTCAGTTTATAACAAAGTAGAGAGGCCAAAGGAAATGATAGTGGACAGACCAGGATGTTAAGATCTGTCATACCTGTGCCCATGCCACCTCAGCCTCCAGGTCACTGGGCATGCCGTCCACCGCAGAGCGCCTGGTCAGCTCGGCGTCAGTTGCGGCCAGCCACTCCGTCAACCCGTTCAGCTCCTTACGCAACTTCCTTGACAACTTCAGACTCTTCTCCAGCTCTAATTTACTCTCAGTTACCTTAAAACACGTGAAACAGTTACAGGAAATCTCTACTGATAGTGTTGCTTGTGAGATAACATGTGTTTAGCTCCAATATGTTTGTGTGTTTGTTCTCACCTGGGATCCCAGTTGGTTGTAGAGCAGTTTCAGGGCGGTCACCCTGTCGTCAAGCTCTTTGGGATGCTCAGTCTGCTGCCTCTGGACGATCTGCCGCCCTGTTTTTATCACCGTCTCTATCTCGCCTTTCACTTCACTCAGCACCTTGTACAACTTCTGTTAGACACAAACAGCAGCTGCTTAATGTGAGATATATACATCAACTCATCAACCGACCTGCCAGCGTGGTGCAATTACCCACCATACACTGCTCCAGCTGCGACTGCACCACGTCCTGCTCCACACTGCGGATGTCCAGCACCCCCACCTGACTTTTGACCCCGGCCAGCGCACGCTCACATTCAGCCAGCCGAGCGTCAAAGTTGGCCGGCTTCTGGAAGAGCCGAAATTTCGTCCACACGTCTGCCAACATTTTCTATAAAAAGCCAAAGACACACGTGGACACGTGAGGAGACGACTCGTTGTAGCAATTCAGAGTCTGTCTACATCAGACACATATTCCAACAAAATTAAACGCGAGAGAAAAAGAAGCATGTGGGGTCCGTTTAGAGGGAATGTGTTGTGCCATTGCACCATTGGTTTCATGGTTTTGCAGTGCCTGGCAGGGAACTACACTCAATGCTGTGGGAGTTCTGTGAGATTCAATGAGAGAAAATCAGAATGTGCAAGACAGACTCTCACCACAAGAAGGTAGAGCTGCTCCAGTTTTGAGCTCCGAGCCCCTGTGCCCCTCGGCTGTCAGAGCAGAAGAGTTGTGTGCGTGCGTAGTTCACCGCTGAGTAATGACAACTTTTGCCAGGGGGTACAGTATTTCAGTTTGCAAACCAAGTTTCAGTAGTGTGGTGTTTACAGAGGCCTTCTCTCTTTAGCTGAGGGGCAAACTGAATTGTGCCAGAGGAGGAAATCATTTCCACTTCATTCCCACAAATTTAGTTTCCCTAAATTCCCATTACCGAAAGTAAAAAGTCTGAATGCTCACGCACAACATTCTGTTCCATGAAAGAGTGTTTCCTAAAAATAGATCTGCAAATTTCTTATTTTCACATAAGCCTTGCCTACGAACTCACAAATAGATAATGTGAAACAATGCTCGCAGTGTCAGAAATATTTGGTCGCATATCCACAAATTTGCTTTGCGTCACACAAATATGTAAACACACAAATACAATGGAAACATACCTGTGTAAGGTCAATCTGTCCCATGATCCTCTGGGACGAGTCTTTGTCCTGGTTCTTCTTCCTCATGTCCTCCAGAGTCACGTCATGTCCACTCAGCTCGGACTGGATTTTCTGTGACACACATAAACATGCGTTTCTAAAGTTTCTAATTCAGTGAATTTAATCAGGTCCGTCTGGAAAAGAGGCGAGTAAGTTTAAATTGATCAATAGTGTATCTCCCTCTGCTGACCACAGGGAGGCAATAAGCAGCAAGGAGAGAGGAGAAGGCACTCCTCAAAATCTTTGATAACTTTAGGTACACCCCCCTCACTACACACACACACACACACACACACACACAC